GCGTGTTTTTCAATTAAGAAAGTTTCCTGGAAAGTTTAAAGTTGTGTCATCTCAGCTCTGCCCTGTTAGCCCATGAGCAGGGAAAATTCTGCTTCTCATCACTCAGCAAGATCCTCCTCTAAGCAGAAGGTTAAGCCCTGCATTGAAACACAGAATATTGAGCAAACTGTAAATGTTTCGCTTCGTTATCGACATCTTGTAATTCACTAAGACAAAATTTGTATTTGCATCCGACCAGTGAGGTTTTATTTGCCTTGAAATATAGATCTTAACCCTCTAAATTCGAGTTTGCTGTGGGGTAAGAAATGAGATAAACCCTTTGTATGGGTGGAGTTCACTCTCAGTAACAGCACTTGCTGTGGTAAACCATTTTGTTCATCATCTCTTTTTGCTGAAGTGAGTCCTCGGTGTGGTTTGGGTGCACCACTTGGGTAACTGCTGAAACTGCTGTGGTTTCAGAATAGGACCTGTTGTGCTTTTTTTCTGAATTTTTTTCCCCTGAAACTATTAGCAGAAAAATCAAATAAGGGTTACAACTGTTTGCCTGCACTTTCGTGCTGCCGTGCCTCAAAATGGTGAACAGGGTCGTGTAAAAATACAACATTTTCCAGCAAATAGAAGATTAATGCAGTCTCAGTTACTACTGAGAGTGTATTTTGCAGTGTTAGAATTTTACCAGTGTCCCTTCAGTTCAACTGGTGACTTTTTTACATGGTTTGGGTATTTTTGCTTCACATTATAAAAATACTGTACCCACAGTCTTGACACGCTAAACATGGAAATGCAAAAATCTTTGAGTGCTTAAGTGTACACTCACTACTCTGGGAGACTTACACGTGGTGTAAGCCAGCAAAGATGTCAGATAGATAAGTCTGGTGTCGTTATTACTGATTTGTGGTTAATAAATGAGTAAATTTGAACTTCTAACTGAACCAAACAAACTCCTGCCAGGCCTCAAACCCATTTTTGCAGAGCGTGGCAGCATAAAAGAAACTGTAATAACGTACAGAGGGTGGTGAAAGAGGGCTTTGGATTCGTCAGTTGGACTCAGAAAGGGGAGGGTAACCCAAATTCTTATTAATAAATCCCTTGGGGTGGATTAGAGTGAGACAACACTGAATAATTGGTGTTTGTAAACATATATATGTAGGGTTTATTTTGGAGCAGTTTTGTTTCCGAAGTTAAAGGGGTGTGTTGCTGGTTTGGGTGTTATTATTTGGGTAATATTAAAAGCATTAAGATCACTCTTAAAGGAAAATGCATAAGGGGAAGAAAGGGAAAGACAGGATAAGGGTAAGGGAGAGTAAGGCACCTGCACCCAGGATAGCTGGACAGTGGCACCCACTTATCTGATCTGAAGGTCCCTTGGCAGCATTCAGGGAGGGCTGGGCTTTGCTGCTTCTTTTCAGTTTGCAAAAGTCTTCTGGTGATCTCAGGATGTGTAAAATCATTAACTGTTTCAGTCTCTTCAAACTCAGGATATATTCTGGGATTCTGGGGTTCCAGGGCTCTTTGAGGGGCTCTTCTGGGTGCTGGGACTGGTGTGTTCAGCTTTGGTGCTGCCCTTAAAATTGCTCTGCAAGAAAGAAACCCCGTTGTATAAGGGTTTCCCTCTTTCACTTTTTCTTCAAAATAACAACATTATCACCCAATTCTGTCCTAACACCTGAAAAAAAATAGCACTCAGAGTGTAAAATGAAAATTGTCCTTATTATTAGCACTAACTCTTGTGACATGGTGACATTTCCTCTACTGCAAAGTGATTCTTTGTGATCTTTTGTGAGGGTGAAGCACAAGAAACCCCGATGCTCTGTGCAGGTTCAAAACCACCAGAACCTTTGTGCAAGAACCTTAAACAGGCCACCCAGAAAAGCCAAGTTTGCTGAACAAATACGTTGCAAACCCGGAGTTTGTGTTAACAGTCACCAATTCCACAAAGTGGTTTCGGTAGCAGAAGGTTTAACCTAAGAAAAGGGCAGCTTAAGAGGGGTTGGGTTTGCCTCTGTCACTCCAAATTGCTTTGGGGCAATGCAGGGTGGAGGATATGAGGGGGAATTTTCTTGCTGGTAAGTGGCAATAGAGGAAGGAGGGAAAACGTAGAGGGCTTTTGTTTTGTCTTGACCTTCAATTAGAAATGCAGGTAATTTAATTTTCTTGCAGTTCTCCCAGACCAGGTTGGACAGGGCTTGGAGCAACCTGGTCTGGTGGAACCCATGGCAGGGAATTGGAACTGGATGAGCTTTAAAGTCTCTTCCAACCCAACCCAGCCCATCCCATGACCTCTGTTGGTAGGAAAGGCTGGTTGTGGTGAAGGGGGGTCTGTGCTTGTGAGGAGAGCAAATATTGCTGGAATTTCCTGTGTATTGGGTCACTTACTTCCATAAAGGACAAATCACTGGCCTGACCTGCTTCTCTTTAGGAGTCCTCCATGTGGTTGCTACCATGGGGATCCATATATCCCTGTCACATCTGTGATCCAGGATGGAGCATGTGCTGAACCATGACCAATTGTACTGGAGGGAGCTTTGAGAGGTCTCCTTTATCCTCCAGCTTCAAGGCAGCTAAACCAGTGGGGTTTCTAGAAACCATTTCTCAAACCTCATGGACATGGTGATGAAATGCAATAAGTTCCCTGGGCAGTCTGGAGTATCCTTAAGTTTTCAAAATGTTGTGGATTGTCTGATGTGAATCTCTCTTGGTCCAGTCTGAATCCATTTGGCTTTCTCCTGATGGAAGACTTGCCTCCAGGACTATGATCAGGTTCCCCTTGAACACACTCAAGACAAAACAAATCCACTTCTATCTCCTACTGCACATGTCTTGTTTTCCATGTCTCTGTGTGCTTGTTCAGCTGGGGGCTTCCTTGCTTCCCACTTCCCCTGCAGCTCAGTGCCTGTATTGCATCTGACTCTGGCATTGACACTGCACTGCTGAGAATCTGCACGATTCCTTCAGCTCCCTGGAAACCTGATCCCTTCACTTCCCTGTACACTTGATTCCTTCACTTCCCTGTACACCTGATCCCTTCAGCTTCCTGTACACCTGGTTCCTTCAGCTCCCTGTGCCTGTTGACTTTTGGGAATAGAGTTCCTTGAAAGCCTGATCCCTTCCTGATCCCTGTACACCTGATTCCTCAGGTCCCTCAGTTCCCTGTACACCTGATCCCTTCAGCTCCCTGTACACCTGATTCCTCAGGTCCCTCAGTTCCCTGTACACCTGATTCCTCAGGTCCCTCAGTTCCCTGTACACCTGATTCCTTCAGCTCCCTGTACACCTGATTCCTCAGTTCCTTGTAAACCTGATTACTTCACTTCCCTGTACACCTTATTCCTTCAGCTCCTCTAAACCTGATCCCTTCACTTCCCTGTACACTTGATTCCTTCATTTCCCTGTACACCTGATCCCTTCACTTCCCTGTACACCAGATCCCTTCAGCTCCCTGTACATCTGATTCCTCAGTTCCTTGTACACCTGATCCCTTCACCTCCTCGTACACCTGATTCCTTCACTTCCCTGTACACCTGGTTCCTTCAGATCCTCTAAACCTAATCCCTTCACTTCCCTGTACACCTGATTCCTCAGTTCCCTGTACACCTGATCCCTTCACTTCCCTGTACTCCTGGTTCCTTCAGCTCCTCTAAACCTGATTCCTTCAGCTCCCTGTGCCTTGTGACTTTTGGGAATAGAGACCAGCTGAGTGCAAGGGAAGATGGACTTTAGGCTGGCCCTGGGGTAGGAGAGGCTGAGCTGGGATTTAATGGCAGCTGCTGGATAGGTGATCAGTTTAGCCCAAGTTTTCTGCTCTCTTCCTCTTTGATAAATGAGGATTTCCACAGATCCGAGCAAATATTATGAAGTTCCTGAGCAACAGCCAAAGTACCTTAAAAGCTCCCAGGCTGTGGCTGAGACATGTCAAGTACACCCTCTCAAATCTGGGGTTTGTGCTTTCCTAGTATGATTACTCTGATGGGAATACATTATAAGATTCCTGTTAAATTATAGTTCAAAGAATTGGACATTTCAAAACAGATGATAACTTTACTGCAGATAATGTCTGTGATTCAGGTTTTATACAGAAAGTTGTAAACGTTTGTTTTAAGAATGTTTGTAGATTTTTCCTTTATCAAGTACACATTGTAATCAAGAGTATATGTAATCCAAGTATATGTAATCCAAGGAGTATTTTCCCTGGAAATTGGGTGTGTACTTGTCAGGAGAATCTTTTTTTTTTTTTTCTAAGAGACCAAAAAAATACATTTATCTGTTTGGTTATTTGACCTCACAGAATAGTACTTTTGGCAAGGAGAATTAAAAACTAACCACTGAAGTTTTAATTGCAACAAAGAAAATATACAAACATTATTATATTACACAATAATTGCTATGATTTCATTTGTTATTGGGGTGGAGTAGAAGAACAAGCAGTCACCTACAAGAGGTGGGTTGCAGAGCAAGCACCCCAGAACGAGGTGTTTTCTTAATCAGTCTCTTTTTCCTTGTAAAAAAGTGGTGGTAGAAGGATAAACCAGTCCCAGGAAAAAAAAAGCAGAATGCAGACATTCTGTAAAGTCACAGCTAAGTTACCATTTAATCCTATTTATCATGATCTACCTTTAGTGATACATATTTTTACGTATTTTGCCTTTTATATAATCCCAAACTTAAACTTGAAATGCCTCTAATCCTGGAAAATCAAAGTCATACTTGTCAAATTCTTTTGACCAGGTGCCTTCATATTGGGTTTTATCATTTAAAATCTTGCTGCTATTAATATTTTGGTATGTATAAGACAATAACCCCCATTTAAATAAAACAACTGTTTGAGGTGATTTGCACTGAGGAATGAATACCATTATATTTGGTTAAATTTTCACCCCAGGGAGGATGGATGATGCTTAAAGTGTGTCAGCACAGTTTCCTATTTCAGGGCTTTGCATTGTCCATGGTAAGTAACTTCTCTTTTTCTCCTTTTGTTTTTGTTTTTTTCCTAAACTTTCCAGGTAAAAGCACTCCTGTCAGCCACCTTGGGCCTGCAGATTTTCCCAAGCCCCATGATCCATTCCAGCCATTTGGGGCTGACAGCAGTGACCCGTTTCAAAGTAAAAAGGGGTTTGGGGACCCATTTAGTGGAAAAGATCCATTTGCTCCCTCCTCTTCAAGTAAAACTTCTAAAGACTCTTCCTTGGGGTTTGCAGACTTCAGCTCTGTAAGTTAAGTTCCTTGTCTCAGCAAACCACTTTCTGCTCTGCTTGCAGCAAATCTGTTGGGTTTTTGTTTTACCTGCAAACCTACTGTTCCCTGGCTTCTGTCTCTCAGTTACCTTCATGCTGTCCTCATTGTTTTTGTATTAATATTTCTGTAATAAAAAGGCATTCTTTCAATAAAAGAGAAGTTTTTCATACTAAATTTCCAAGGGTTTACTTGCATTTAAATTATTTTAGCACAATGTGCCTTTACTCTCAAATTCTCTGTAGCAGAACCTGTGTATTGTTTTTGTTGCATGGAGGCTATTTTGTAAACTGATTTTTGGGAGCCAACGATGTAAAGACTCAAAAAAGCAATTGCTGAGAACGTTTCTATAGCAATTTCACCACATCCTGAGAAGCAAATCCTTAAAGGGAAAGTTTCCCTAAAGCATTTGTAACTGTTTGTGGAAAGAGTTCTGACAATCCTGTCACAACATTTGCTGTATATGATGGAATGTGGTCGTGGAGGGACACAGACCAGACAGAGATTGAAAATTTAGCTGCTGAATTTTGTTCCAGTTACTGGTATTTTAGAAAAGACAAAGAAAAAAAAAAACCAAAATTGTTTTGTTAGAACCAAGACAGAAAGGTCCACCCTGCCCTCCCAAAGACAGTCCCAGAAGGTTGGAAAGCAAAGCCAGGTGCCCGTTCATCACCCGTGTTTCTAAAGCCTGGCTTTGGTTTTGGTGCTGGAATTGGGAACCACTGTAAATGCAGTAGTGGTGTGGTTCTTATTGCTTCCAGGAGTGGATGGAACCTGTTCCATCCATCCACAGCCTCAGGCTTCTCCCTCCTTTCCCATGTTTTTGTTCTCTGACAGTAAAACATCCAATTTAATCTGCCCCTCAGCTCTGCTGGACACAGGTCAGTGTTCAACAAGTGGGGAGCTTTAAGCTGAAATCTTTCAGGTTATTTCTTTTTAATGTTTGGGTTTGGTTTGTTGTTTTTGTTTTGGTTTTTTTTTTCCTACTTATTATTTAATATTAAATGTGTATCACTTTCCTGTTTGCTGTTGTTTAGTTGAGGCCATTTGTTCAGATTTTAGTTGGGCCTCAGGGCTGTAATTTATCTCTTTGGAAACGTCCAAGTTCAAGGTTTTCTGTATGTTTGACCACAGCTGGTACAGCCTGTTGGATTTGCACAGTTAAATTCTGATTGTATTAAAAACTGGTGACATTCTTAATAAAAATAAGACGCAAAACTTGCTTTATCTGAAATTTCTTCCAACAACATCTTAATTTCTTCCTGCAATGAAAGCCAAATGATGGAATGGAATGACTGTTGCCCAGTTCTTACCATCTTACTTTTGCACACTGCATTTCTTAAGTTAAAATTGTGGTTTACTCTGAGTGATTGTATCAAATGATCAACCAAAATCTCTGATCCCCATCCTAGAGGGTCAAATTTGCTGTGCCATCAGGTTTTCAGCTGAGATTAACCTTAAAAGAGAAGGGAAAAGTAGGAAAAATGAGATAATGAGCAGTAGCCACTTGGTAATTCCTGTTCAGTGGCATTTCATCAAATGAAATAAATTTTTAAATCAGTTTTGTGAATTGATTTTTCCCTGCTATAACAAAAAAGAAGCATTGACTGAATTTGGCTGAAAAGAGAGAGATTTGATCCCTGTTCTCTTCAGTTTATGGGTTTTTTTCCTTGCCTATAACACAATTATGCTGCTCCACTTGACAATTCCTAATCCTTCTGTATGATGTTTTAAATGTACTAATTACCTTGGAATCACTGAGAATGTTGTGCTTCTCTTTGCCTCGTGGTTGGGAAACTTTTTATTCACGATGGAAATGAAAATCACTTTTACTTACAGAAGGTTTTTTGACACATGAACCAATGTAGGACTGAACAGTCAAATAACCCAATTTTTAATTGAAATCCTTGACTGTTGCAGAGAAAGAACATGAAAACCTTCACTAGATCTTAGTAGCACTCTATGAAATTTGCTTTTTTTTTTGAGACACTGGCAAATTCCTGCACCCAGAGCTTACCTATATTCTCCTTACATTCTTAACTTTGTTGCTGGCATTAAATACGATTCATTGGAACAAAACAGAGTCTTTTGGTAGCTCAGATTTTGGATATTTCAAGGTTCCAGCTGCAGTTTACAGAACAACAAGAAAAGCCACCTTTTTGTCAACAGAAAGTGTTTAAATTTCCAAGAAGCAGAACACAGGACTAAACTTTTTCTCCCAATGCAAGCTGGAAATTCAGTAAACACAAGTCAGTGCAGTTTTTGAGGTTTGGTTTCCTCATTTATACCTTGGGTCTGACTGTACTTCTGAAAAGGCAAAAAAAAAAAAAGAGGTTTTTGATGAAATTACACTTGTGTGATGCAGATTTATAGAATTTTTGAAACCTGGACATGTACAGAAAATTGTTATTGTATTAAATGACCTGTAAATTACCTTTTTCCAGACAATCAGTGGCATTAATTAACTGTTCCATATTTATTTCACTGAGTTATCTCCTGAAAATTTTCCTTTATGCCAACCACTTGTAATAAGGCCCATCCAGATTTGTTTCCAATGAATCACTTGCTTCTTTTTCCTTTTATTTTTTTTATTTCACTCAGCACTCTTAACCACAAAAATATAACTTGTGTCCCATGAACAAGTTATAATTGGGACTCTCTTTGGAAGCCTTATCCTAGGATGGAAGCTATAGGAATAAAACTGGTTTCTCAACATTTAAAAAACACCCCAGATGGTTTGACCAAAGCTTCTTGTATTTCTGGAAATAGTAACTGTTCATTCTCCATCCCAGCTTAAGGATCTGCCTGAATTCTTGGAATAAGCACAGAATTCCTGCTTCCATTTTCCATCTTTACCTTGAAAAAAAATCATCTATTTAAAATCTTAGTGAGCTTTTCAATCTTACCTGTCAGCTGATGTTATTTAAATGATAAATGATAGTAGTTTTTCTTCATTTTAAAAAGAAAATGTCAAAATGTGTGACACTTCTATTGTATTTCACTAACATAGAATGCAAGGGTCCTCCTCTAAATTTTGATGGTGATGAAAGCAGAGGTGTTACATGAAGGAATGTAGGGGTTTTTTTTGCATCAAATCATCTGAAAAAGCATCTTGAGAGAAATAAAATGAGGAATGACGAGCATAATTTAACTAAATGAGAATTGGACTTGGTTTGAAAGAAATTCAAATGGGCGGATTTATTTAAAAATACCTAAAAAAATATATAAAAAATAAAAAATTGCAGATACAATGCAGTATGGAAGAGGCAGGAGTGGGACCATCACATTGTGTATATGCAGCTAAACGAGGTCTAGCACTGAAAGTTGCATTTTTAATACTCAGTTTGATATTTTAGGTGTGGCTGTGCCAGCTCCTGGTGGCACCGTGGGCTGTGCTCAGTCACTGTGTCCCAACCCATGGGGAATTTTTGCACTATACATCCAGCTGAAATTTTTCTCCTCACAAAAAAACAAAAAAAAACCAACCAAATAATATGTTTTCCTGCACAAAAAAAAAAAAAACCAACACAAAGCAGATTTTAGAAGTGGCTCTAATGCAGACATTTGCATGCAGCTGTTCCCATCGGCCTCCTCAGCAACTGCTAAAATTAAACAGGAGCAGATTATATTTGAGCTTAAAATTGTTATGGTGTCAATAAAATAGCTGAAGATTTTGTGCAAAAGAGTTCAAACTTTTGCATCTTTCGGTGGTAAATACTGGAATATAATTTTGGACTAGTTTGGCTGCACTCTATTTAAATGTTTTTTGGGGGAGCCCAAACAGGCTTAGGAGCTGAATGTTATAATGTGGGATATTTCCTTAGTGTTCTCTGCTGAAGGAAATTGGATTCTCCCACATTATTTCTTACTGGAAAAACTCTGTGTGTAATTTATGAACAGTAACAGAAGCACTTTCTGTAACTTTTGCTTTGGTCATGAAGCTTCTCACATGTCAAAATCACTGCTCAGACCCCTCACCCTCAGCAGGAGCCACCTCAGTAAAACTCTGCAGTGGAGTTGCACAAGAGTAAAAAAACTCTTGGTTTCCCCAGCTATTTACTATTCTTAAAAATGGCTGTAGTTGCTGTGCTCCCAAGCCACTAACTTTGCTTTTTTTTGTTGTTTCTGTGGAGTTTTTCTTTGGCTCCAGTGGCTGTTTTCAGACCCACCTGAGCCGTGGATACAGGGATGTGCAGCCCACATGGCTTAGCTTCCTGCTGGGAGGAGGAAGAAATTAAGGAAATAAATTAAAGGAGGAAGTGAAGGCAGAAGAAAATTAAGGAGATAAATTAAAGTGAGGAAATTAGTGAGTGGATTTTTACCCTTAATCCAGAAGAACTGCCCTGAGACAACTCGGTGTGCTCGACCCGTGTATTTAACGAGTCAGCTTCATTGTGTTTTTTCACGTTATTTTTTCTGGCTTGTTGGCCAATTTTTTTATTTTTTTTTCATTTTTCTTTTTTCTTTTCTTTTTTTTTTTTTTTTTTTTTTTTAGTTTGGAAATGAGGAGCAGCAGCTGGCCTGGGCCAAGAGGGAGAGTGAGAAAGCAGAGCAAGAAAGACTGGCCCGGTTGCGGAGACAAGAACAAGAAGACCTCGAGTTGGCCATTGCCCTCAGTAAGGCTGACATGCCAAACTCCTAAAGAGGGGCTTGGGCTCCACCCTATCCAAGAGAAACCTTGGAAAATGGCTTTTGGTAAAAATACTAAACCCTTGGTTTCTGTTGTGAAAATAATTTTAGTCACCTTCAGATTTAAACAAGACCTGGCTGGGGGCGTCCGCCCGGGCTCTGTGTGGCTTCTCTCAAGTGCATAATCTGCAGGAAACACTGTAATAAGCTGTATTATATGTTCTAGATAAAAAATTTATTGCTTGTAAGAAATTTAACGTATAATCCTGAGATACTGAAAGTTTTCTTTTATCTGGAGGACAAATGTTGCACATAGGAAACTGCAACATGTGAACCTGGCTTTTTATAACCTGAATTCCATTGGGGGTTTGGAGGCTGCAGGATGAACTTCAAAGAAAACATCATAAAAAAGAGAATATTTACAGAATTAGCTTTCACTTGTTACATTTATTTAATAATTCATGGTAGCCTAATCAGTTTGTCACCTGCATCATCTATGTCAAAGCATAATTCATTGTTAGATGGTCCCTTTTAATCCAGAAGATGTGGCTTTTACAAAAGAATCTAGCAGTTTATATATGATGAATACAAACAGTGAACTGTGTGAAAGAGTACAGACTTGAAGCCTTTATGAATGAGTAGTTCTAATTTAAACATTTGTTTGTGTTGAGTTTTAATCATTGTATGTGACGTGGTAAAAGAGGGAGTTCATTCAGCTGTAGTAAACTGGATAAATCATTTGGCAGTTCAATTATGAAGTAAAATTTTGCTGTATCATAAGCAAAGGGTGGTGATACACGTTTGGGTGCTGCTTTCATGTGAAATCAGGAAATCAAGCAGTGGAAAAATGGCTGAGTTTGAGGAGTGTCCCTCCCTACAACCCACTGTACCCTCATTTACTCCAACACCAGCACAACAGCCCGGGCTGTGTCCCCACCTCTGCTTCTTGAATTCCACCAGTCCTATGGGGTTACAGATCAAACCTGATTTAGCTGAAATAAGGCCAAGTTGAATCAGTTTTTATTTGCCAAATACATATTCACACATAAGTTCTGGCAGCACTGGTGGGCTGGGTTGGCTCTGAAATCCAGTTTGCAGCCCCCAGAGCAGGCAGGGACAGGTTTTCTATGCACTGACTGCTTCCACCTGGAAAGGGCAGCACAGCATGTGTCTGACATGTCATACAAAAAAAATAAGGCTGTGAATTCATTACTTACTAAAAATGCCTTTTCTGATTACAGGAATTCTAAAACTACAGTTGTCTTTGCCTTGGACTTTTCTGTCTCATAGAGTAGGGAATCTACCCCAACATTTTTACGTGTCCTCAGTCTTATTTCCTGCCCTGTGGGAATACAAAGCTTAACATTCTGGGGGTTTAGTGATGCAGCCCTTATCTTACAACATTTTCTCATTTTTTGTTGTTTTTTTTTAATGTGGTATTCCTTCATCACCTTTAATGCATTTCTAGTTTTTATGTCCTTGCTTCAGTTACCTTTATTTTCATATTACAACAATAGTGCCTGTTCAGTGGATGCAAACAACCTCTCCCTGCTGTGTTGTGATTGCCTTATTCTGGATGCTTTCCTAATGCAGAGATAAGAATCAGATTGGATCATTTTAAGCATCTTGGTAGTTTTCAGCTCTGAAATGCAGCCAAGATGTGCCATTTGTGGTCTCAGGCTTTGGGGTGGTGGGTGAGTGTGCAAACACACACTTCCAGCCACCTTTGGGATGTTGTTTTTAGGAGTCACAATCCCCTCTTTGCTGTGTGTCTCCTGTGCTAATGGTACTACAAATAATGTGAATCTTTAATTCCCCTCACAAGGGGAGAAGATGTATTTCTAATATCAAAATCAACCATGTAATCATCTTTAATACTGTCCTTTAATGGCCCCTTTGGGATGCATTTCTAATTTCACAGAATCAGATTTGAAATCCCTTCCCACTGTGGTAATTTTTCTCTAAAATATGTAGGATTAAATGATCAAACATACTAAAATGTTGAAAAATTCTCTTTTCTGTTGGTGTGCAGGACTTGAAGTCTCTGAGAGCAAACTTGGGTCTGCTTGTAACTAACATGAGATAAAAAGAGCAATTTTCAAAAGCAAGTGGCTGCAGGGTTTCCAGGGAAGTTAAACAAACTATCCATGTGTAAAATTCTCCTTCTCACTTGGACCTGAGTCCTTGTGGGGTCTCTTTTGCTACAGTAAAACCGCTTTTGAGAAAGGAAACCCACTCCTGGAGCTCTGCTGGGATGGTGTCACTCCAGTGGGACAGGGTGGATGACTTAATAGCTTGATTAATTTTCAGTTATGCACCATAACAAGACTTCCTGCTGCTTTGTCAGGGCTCTAAAATACTGTAATTTATAATTCTTCTAAGGCAATGGGTTGGTGTTTTCAAGATGTTCAGCAGGAAGGCAGAAATGTGAATTAATCCAGCATTCCATGTAGTGTTAGGGCTCATTTTCCTATTTCCTTATTGACTCTTCCTCATATTTGCTTGGACAGTAACTGCAGATCAATGAACCAGGACAGAACATGTTCTCTATGCACAGTGTATTAGATTTAGGAACCCTAAGTTTACTGAAACACTCTTGATTCAAAATGTTGGCACTGCAGTAGAAGAAAACTTAGCTGTGATTTCTCCCCTTGGTATTTAATACATTTTCCACATAAAAAGGAAGATTCCCCACTGTGTTTCCCTCTGCTGTAACTCAGTATTTGTACAATACCTGCACTTGTTCTTTAAGGCAAAACTTTAGTGCAAGACATTGGTCTTCTTCCTCCAGAACAGTGAAATTTAAAGCACAAACAGACCTGTTGCTATTTGAGCAGAGAAAATATGTACAATGCAAGAGCTGGCAAATGTGAGTATCCCCAGTGCATATACAGTGTACAGTGAGATCCATATTATCTGTGTCTATGTGTATATATATATATATATAGTGTATTGTATAATGTAATAATAGTGTGTGTATATACTCCACATGTCCACATGCTCTGTCCAGTATATAGTTCTTTGTGCTGTACATAAAATGTGTATATACAATGAATATGTGGAATATGCAGATATATTCTGCATATTGAAGTTGTGTGTGTGTGTGGATTCTGTAACCAGAGATGGGTACAGAAATGGAATTTGTACAGAAACACAGGTTAGCTCATGACTCTGAGAATTTCAAAGTTCTGGTGAAAGAAAGAAAGGAAAAAAAAAACCCAGGAGAAATTATTTCTAATCAATTTGTTTCGATATTTCTTCCATTGGCATGAAAAACTGGGTTTATTAGCTGTGCCAAGTGTAGGAGAAACCTGGCAGAACGTAGGAATCATCTGCACTGGATGTGATTTCACATTCTTTGGAGTTTTTAAAGTGTCTCGTGGAATCTGGGCTCAACTGCTGATCTCACATGTGATGCTCATGTCATCTTTTCTTTTTTCCTCTGGGCCGAGGCAGTGAGTTTTCTCTTCCATTTGCTTGTAGTTTCACTTCTCTCTTTCCTTTTTTTTTTTCCTTTTTAAAAACCTATTTTTAAGGAGCTGTTCCCATACACACACACATCCCCCAGACAGTCACAGGCAGAGGTGAAAAACATGTTTTTCTTGCTTCATTCCAGTTCAGTTGGTTGCACATAATTGTCATTTGGATTCCAACTCTGTTTTTCCTCCATTTCCACTTCAGGAAGAATTACCCATTGCTTTCTTGGCTTTGGGGAAAGAGTGGAGGTGATTCTACTTTCTAACTGAAGATAAATGGAATTAGACTCTGCGGTATCTTGAGCAATCACTGAGAATTGAGCAGGTTTTATGGTGGCACACGTGTGTTTTATAGGGAACATCGTCACTGGGATGACTCATGGAAAGGCCTGGATTGCACAGAACACTGAGGCACAACAGTCAAACAGGACAGACAGACAATTACCCACCTTGGGCCTGCACATGCACGTAGGACACAGGTCCTGAATTACCACCCGAGCCCTCTAAGCCCTTGTGTGCTCACATTTCCCTCAGTCACCTTCCAACTGTCTCGTTGTAAAACCTCCCAGTCATCCTGCAATAAAACCAGATGCTCATGAAAATCCTCCTTCCACAGTAGTGCTGGATGAAGTATTTTTATATAGGCACATTTTTTCCTCGTGGAACCTCTGCCCTGTGAGGGCCATCAGTCCTCCCTGGATTTTGTTCCATGTACTGTGCCCTCAAAGTGTAGGAAATTCCAAGCTGTGTCTGTGTAACCCTTTTTTTTAATTACTATTTTATTTTATTTTAAATTCCTGTCTGTGAAATCTGGTGGCAGAAATTTTGTAGAAATTATTTTGTCATCTTATGCTCAACGATAATGCACTTTTCTTGGATTCTTCTTATAATCCTTTTGGAGTTACTATTTCTTCTTTAGTGTTTCTCCATTGAGAAGAATATTTATTCTGTAGAACTGTGGCCCAAGGAGTTTTGGTCCAAGTAGAGTTGTTGCTTTCCCTCGTGTAAGAGTTTGATTTCTCCTTTCTTCTGCATTTTTTTCCTCCCTCTCAGGAATTTCATTTCTGTTTAATCCTTGTTTAGAGCTGGAACTCTGTTGAAGTGAATTGATCTGTGCTATTAATGATCTAATTCAATTATGTTCCTACACTAGTGGAACAGCCAAGTTTTTGGTGTGTGTCAACCATTGCATCTCTTTAGACTTCACAACACCCATCTTTTCTTAGAAAGGAATTTTGCTTGGAGTGTGGTGGAATCACAGATTTATTTTTAGAGTAAATATGTTAACTGTTATTCATTGACACACCTGTTTGATCAGTTGATATACTGCTCTTTTTACTTGAAAGTTTTATAAATAAAGGCTAATTTGTTATAAAATGGAATTTTCATTTTTCCAACTTCTGCCTTCCCCTTTAAGTTTAACTTCTAAAGGAAAACTCACAGTGACTGTGGTTCCTCCTGCTGTTACAATTACAGAGTCCTCTTCTGGTGTCCCTTTTAATATTCTCCAGTCTGACCTAAAAAAGGTGGAAACACAAAGTGAAAGCTGCAATGTTGACCTAAATTTGACTAATATCTCCAAATATGTACATTGTTGTAGCTATATTTATCTTTCAAATATCATAACAAATTGAAAGGTATTTTAATTTTAACCCATCTCATGTGTTTATTGTTTAATATAATAAGAGAATTGTTATTGTTTAATATAATAAATGAAAAGTTACTTTTTGGAGCTCTGAGACTTCGGTGATGGTTCTTTACTTTTTTTTTTTTTAAATCCACACTTTCACAAGTTTTTGTGTCAAATTCATGAATCTTCCTTTGAGCAACCACTGGATTCTCTGTCCTGGGATCTTTTTTTGTGCTGTTTTCCCTCCTGTCCTTCCCTCTCTCCCCTGTTCTGGCCGCGTTGGAGCAGCGCAGTCACAAAACCCGGTGCCGCGCCCTTCCCAAAACAATCTGTGTGTGGCAACGCTGAACATCCAGAAAATTTACACTGGGAGGGGTTGGAGAGATCACCATGGACAAACCCTTCTGCTGCCTGGAAAAACACACCTCACTATCGGACCCTTCCACGTTATTCACTTTGACTCATTGTGCTCCCGCTGTTTACTGACTCTGCTCCTGCACGTCGAGCAAGGGGAGCACCAGCTTGGCTGGTTCCAGCAGGTTGCCAAGGCAGGTTGGTCTCCCAGCAATATTTTTGGAGTGTTGACATTCTGGAGCCAGGATTTGGCTGCGTTGTGTCACACACAGGCACAACTCCCAACCCAATTCCTCCCGTCCTTATAAAATAAAATGAACCTGGATTAACTTTCCTGAAACCTCCTTTCCAAGCAAAAAGAGAGCAGGAGCAATGAAGTTTTCATTTGCTCTCTCACCACCCTTAGCATTAGTTTCCTACTCTTTTACCTGCTCCCATTATAATTCTTTTTAGCAAATCAGAACTTTTCTGCCCCTTTTTGGTGAGCATAAATTCCTGAACACGGAAACTGCAGGTGAACTTACCTGGCACAGGTTTACAATTAGATCATCTCTTATGAAATCATGGCCCATGTTTTGCTCCCACTCAGATTTTTGGTGTCTGACTTGCACAGTGTTCTCATCCTTAGGCTTTCCCAAATGCTTCCCTAATCCTCCTTGTCCATGCTTAATCCTAAAGGACCCCCCTGTACCCTGTTTCCTGGGAAGGGATTTATCTCCATCCTGCTCAGAAAAAAACATTTACAAGTGGAAACTTGAACCTAAAGGCTCTCCAAGCTCCGAGCCCAGCTGTTAAACACAATTGTACCATTTGCTGAGGGTTCCTGAACACACCCCAGGCCCAGCTCTCCTGGTGGAACTCGGAGCTCCTGGAGCTGTGCTGGAATTGTGTGGTGGTTTGGTCTGGGCCTTCCTTGGTGACCAGTTTGCAGCCAAGGAAGGGCCCAGATTTACCCAGTATTCCCTACGATTTTCACATAAGCCAGGCTATAAGAAGAAAGGAAGAGAAGGCTTTGGCCTCTTTCCCTCTGGCAGCTTGGAGGTGCAGGTTCCCTGCTGTTGAGTCTGTCATGTTGGGGAGTGAGGCCTGGTGAGGCCTTGTCGACCTTGGGAGGCGGAGGTTGCCGGCGATCGTCCCAGAGCGACTCTCGGTTGTCCCAAGGAGAGTGGTGAGATATTTCTTTGCTAACTCTTTTAGTTACTAGATATTGGGCTACTAATCAGGATATATATATATTTTTTTTATTTTGGTTTTGTTCCTTTTTCCCTTCCCCCTTCCCTTTCCCTTGTGAAATTGTATATATATTTCAACTGTATATAACTGTAACATAAGTGTAAATATATATATATATATTGCTTTAGCTGTCTCTCTCATTTCTGTTTTTCTTGGTTGTTTTTCTCCCTCTTCTCCCTGAGGTTTGGGGGGGGGAGACTTCTTGTGGTAAGGTTTGGAGACTTGGCAGGGAGCCAGCTTCAAACCATATCAAATTGCCACCAGGTTTATCTCAGGAATTCGTCTGCTGTAGGTGACTATCAGTGCAGTCACTCTGAGTACCTTTTCCCTCCTGTCTGGTTGACTTTTTTTTTAATGTAATTACAACAATTAAGACTTTTTATTGGTGCTGATGCAGCGTCTCTTGCAGTTGCTGGAGCCTTCCTTATTGATGAGATCTCGTCACACTCTGCAACAGCAAACATCATATATTCCTGCTGTTTAAATTTCCATAAATGTCCTTGATCACAGTTTTCAGAATGACAAAGCCTTGTGCTCTCTGCCCAACCCTTGCACCCACAGGAAGGACACCCAGGCTTCCTATATCCCTTATTTTGCAATATAATATAAAATCATTAAGATATCAAACCCCACTTGTGCTGTCATCGTGCACAGGCTGTAAAAAAAGTGGTTGTTGGGATTTGAGGATATTTTCTGTGTGTTTTCTTTTGTGTTTAAGCCTCAGGCTCAGTAGCTTCTCACTAACATATTAAAATATATTAAATTTCATAGAGGATCATGTCCAATGGGATATTCCAAATATCTCCTGATGACATAATGATATGTCAGAATTCCAGGATTGCTCTGAGCTGTAAGAAGTGCAAGAAACCACAGTAAAAGTGATTTAAAGGAATACCCTGTCTAATTGTAAACCTGTACCAGGTAAGTTCACCTGCAGTTTCCATGTTCAGGAATTTATGCTCACCAAAAAGGGGCAGAAAAGTTCTGATTTGCTAAAAAGAATTATAATGGGAGCAGGTAAAAGAGCAGGTAACTAATGCTAAGGGTGGTGAGAGAGCAAATGAAAACTTCATTGCTCCTGCTCTCCTTTTGCTTGGAAAAGAGGTTTTGGGAAAGTTAATCCCTCTTCATTCCATAAAACAGGTGCTTATGACTCCTTTATTGTGTCTGCACTAAATATTGTAAGATCAAATAATTGTGGCTGAAATGTCAGACCTCAAAAGACTAAATCAAAGAGATTTTCTGCGTAAGAAGTTTAGGATGAATCCCTACACCCTCTGTGTGCTGCAAGTGGAGGGTGCTGGTTTATGGCAGAGGCTGTTCCCAGTCTCAGCTGGGAATGGGATTTGTGGGATCAAACCATATGAAGCTTTAAGGAGTCTCTGGGAATCAATAAGTTGGGCTAGTTACCTCCAGGCCCTGTGAGCTGAGCATGGCCACGTGCTTTAGGTTACTGGTGTTTGGCTTGCAAACCCATTCCCTGTTCTCCAAATCCATGGGAATCCTGTTTGTGCCGAATCCTGG